GACTTTGCAAAACATCAACACCTAAGAAACCATATAATGTTCTGATTTTTCAAAGTTTCATAGAAAATCCCAACTTAGATGTTGTCAAATGTATCAGAGATTACTTAGAAATGACAAGTGAACTTAGGAAAACTGAACAACAAAAATCTAGACTGTTCATATCAAATGTTAGACCATTCAATCCTGTAGTAACTTGTACAATAGCAGGATGGCTCAAATCTGTTATGGAACAGGCAGGTATAGATACTAAAACTTATAAAGGTCACTCTACTAGATCTGCAACTACTTCAAAAGCATGGACTAGTGGCATGTCGATCAATACAATTGTCAACACTGCCAACTGGTCCAATGCTGAAACTTTTCACAAATTCTATAAAAGGGAAATTGTAGACTTCTCATCATTAGTATTGAGGTGAGCTCTATCTTTGAACAAGCATATGTAAATTCGTCACTTTAGCGAGTGAAATGAAATTTGAAAATTTCATAAGAATCTCGTTAATGAAATTTGAATTTCATGAACAAGATAAAGTGACGAATTTACATACATAATCCCTCCACAGCCCTCCCACATTACATAACATTAATTACTTATTGTTATGCTTTCAGGGGATAGCTCACTCAACATAATAAGGACAGAGGCCTAAAGGGCGATGTATAAACTTTTTGGAATCCCACAAATCCATATCTGGTAGAAGATATTGTACTCTCAAAGGACATGATTGAGCATCAAACTTTACTCCCACTGGAAGTGGTAGAGAAGGACCTGTCGGAATGTTACGATAGACTTGTAAATAATCGATTTATGATACTTCACAGAAAATGAAGTATATTACAGTAACAACTTTAGATAACTTCACAAGAAGTGAAGGAAGATCAACAGTTTCACATACAGTATATGGTAAGATGAAACAAAACCTTATTGAAAATTTCATGAACAAGTACATAATTTTAATCCACCATGGAATTATGTGTTTATCCCACGGGATAATCTTATTTTAATTTTATTCTGTCGAAAGCGCTAAATAGACCGATAGTAAGGGATATTACCCTTATATAACAACTTCATTATTTAAATGAGGTTGAAACGCTATTGGCTGGAACGCAAGCATATGTAAATTCGTCACTTTATCTTGTTCATGAAATTCAAATTTCATTAACGAGATTCTTATGAAATTTTCAAAGTTTGAGACGAGTTGTCAAATTCTAGTTTCTAGTTTCAACAATATGACAACGGATCACATTTATTTTCGTTTGTCATTTCTAAAAAATAATCAGTGAGGTTCCACTTACCACCAGAATCTTCAGTACTGTCTCTCTTCATCTCTGACAGGAGTTTCCAGTTCAACAAATCACTGAAACATCTTTGTTTTGATTTTCCATCTTGGATCTCCAGCCTCGTTCTGATATTTAGTATAATTTGATCATGATGCCATCTTTTAAAACACCAGTAAAACAAAGTAAAACACAAGGATTCTATTCAAGTTTCACAGGCAAATATATATAAACTGTGTATGAAGGAAAGGACATGTCTCGGTTCGGAGAACAGTCTCCTGGGCTAATATTTTTTTTGAAAAATATAGACATAACACCCAAATTAAATCATAAATATTCAAAAGAGGACATTTAAATCTACAAGATGTATGGATGTGGATGATGTCTAGAACCCTGCGTTCGGAGGATGACCGATTCAATAAAAGACAAGGATATAGGTCCATGATTTGGAGAACGAAGTTCATCAGTGTACTGCGCTAATAATTTTTATAAAAATTATAGAAATAGCACACAAATTAAATTATGGATATTCAAAAGAGGACATTTAATAGCTACAATAAGTAAAAATATCAAAAGTGTACAAAGATGGCATAACGTGCAGTAGACTGATGAACTTTGTTCTCCAAACCGAGAATGGTCCTTTACTGATTGTTAACACGCTATGACTTGAACCAAGAATAATTATTGTAGATTGATAGTCAAATACTTCTAATCCTGCAGCACAGTAAGAAAAATATCAACAAATAACATTATACAGTGGTCAGATTTATATGACTATGCATTGCGCTACCTATACCTTCTTCCAAAAGCTAGTCCATATTCTCCAGACTCAGAACATAACAACCATGAAGCTTTCCAATATAGATGTCATTGTCAAGGACATAGATGATCAAGATCAAACATTATGAAGACAAAGGCCATATTTATAGTTGAATGGGTAATTATTAAAGGATCGATGACAATATGCTTGGAATCAATGTCTGTTTCTAATGCATGTGGAAAATCTGTCATTTAAAGGTCAATGTCATTTTAAAGGTAAATCACTGGATAATAGTAAATCTCATACATTAAATGGACAAACTCAACAGCCTAGATGCGAGTAGTAATAATCTTGATTTACACCATTAAATATTCAAAATTCAGTCAAAATGACATCACATTTGTTAAATTACATCTAGAAATGTGGTTTCAAAAACTGTTTCTCAACTTTGAAAAATTAATTTAAAAAAAAAAAGATTTCTTGATAGGGAGATTCCCCATAGACCCCAGGTTATAAAATCACAAAAAGTGAAATATCTTTTCTTTTAGTGGACAGATAATATTTTGCTTTACTGGACATATTTTAATTTGTATAAATATCAGATACATAAAAGTAATATGAAAATTGATCCACTAGAACAATGAATATTCAAGTTTAAAGGGAACTTTCTGCTATACCCGCCATGCTATTTACCCTGAATCAGCCACCTGGTGGTGAAACTGATAACTACCTAATCGTATCAAAGTAATTGTCTTTAAAAAATCCATAAATCAGTCCGTTCACAAAAGGTAATTCATTGTCCATCATAGGTTTGTCCAGGATAATTTCAGTTTTTTGCAAGTTGAGGGTCCCTTGGACATTTAAAATCTAATGAAAAGGTTGTACACCTGAGAATTTACCACTCTCTGCTAATAATCAATGAACAACATAACAACTATTTTGCAATGAACAAATGAACGACTAGCGTCATTTATTGAATTTTATAAAGATAGAGGGCACTGGGTGAAACTGGGAGTCAAAGTTCAAGGTCATTTATTTCAAATGACTAACTTAACACAACCTCACAATTCTCTAGTAAAGGACAACATATCTTTTTGCTGAGTATTCCCTTTTATGAGAAAAGCAACTTGACTCCAAGTATAGGATAACATGGCATAGTTTTTAACTATGTTTGGCCAGTTTTGCCTGAGTGGATCTTTAACCCATTAGTCCAAGCAAATAAATCTGAGTCCAGATTTGTCAGGTTGAACAGATTTCACAAAATAGATGGCGCTTTTCACAACTGTCTCACAATAGGTGGCGTTTTCACATTTACACAACTCTTCACTTTGATCAAGGAGGATTGGCTCCCAGGATCGAAACTCGATATTTTCCAACAATGAAAACGTCGAAATGTCGTTATTTTCTGAAATTAAAACCGACTATAAATTCAAAATAAACAGTTCAAAAGATTCGAACCAATATCTCGATCATTTCTTGTGAGTTTTGGAATTTTTCGTTTGGAAATAAGACCAAAATTCACGATTTAAATGTTGAAGTGAACAAAATGGCGGCTGTTTGAATTCGAATTTTGTATTACGACATACCCATATATGGGACAGAATATCGGTGGTGCACTCTGGGAGCCAATCCTCCTTGACTTTGATTTGAAAATAAATGACTTTTTACAATTAAAATTGTGCACTTGTTAGAAAAAGATAATATGTATAACATATAGGTCTTTCTATAACACTATACAAACAATACATAATCAAATTAATGAAAACTTCATACAGTCATACATGTGGCTTTTTCTTCAAAGAATATAACTATTGTCAAATTATAAATACAATAAGATAACAATAATAATTAGTGGCCAAAAATGTAAATTGAGCTATTAATTAAAATCAATAACATTGCACCTTTAAACGTCAAATAATAAATTGATTCTGGTGGTCACTTTGACATATTTTGAATTTTAGCAAGAGAATGCTTTTACTCTGACCCGAAATGACAAAAAGATGATTGACTTGATTTTTTTACAATTATCTCTCTATTCTCTAATTACATCTAAAAACAGAAAATTCCCTTTCATAAAACAATAAAAATTGGTGTTTTGACCAAATTCACTGGATCATCCTCATATTGCACATTGATATAAAAGCAAACGATTTTACATTTTACAATTCTTAATATATTTCAGTTTAACACCAATCTTAATAGCACCAAATGTTGCACATTTTCTAACTTTAAATAGTCATATAATCAAATTAAATTATGACGCCATAAAATATTATTGAGATGTCATGTGACACAATTATGATGTCATGTGACAATGACCTGACAAATCTGGATTGGATGACACAAGACGTAAATTACTACATTTACATGTTATATAACAGCTCGACCTCAACACAATACATCAACCAGCTTTCCAAAGCACTAAGAGTGACCAATATTGGCCACTTTATCTCCTGGAGGATACACATTTTATCCATTGAATAGAACATACTAAATTAGTATATAACACTGAGCATAAGTCTAGAAAATCAAGACTTTCTATATGTTAAATGCATAATATGCTGCCAAATGACAAAATAAGATGTGATCTTTATAACTTTGTATATAAAATTATTGGAACAAATCGTTCCATCGTGAAGCCATCATCAAAAAATTAAATAATTATAAAATCATATAAATGTGAAATCAAACAAGTTGGTTATTTCTAATGTAGAGCCTGCCCATAAACAGACAAATCCATATATAGAGACTAGTCCATATATAGAGACTAGTCCACATATAGAGACAAGTTCATATATAGAGACAAGTCCATATATAGAGACTAGTCCATATACAATGTATAGAGAGACTAGTCCATATATAGAGAGACTAGTCCATATATAGAGACTAGTCCATATATAGAGACAAGTCCATATATAGAGACAAGTCCATATAAAGAGACAAGTCCATATATAGAGACAAGTCCATATATAGAGACAAGTCCATATAAAGAAACAAGTCCATATAAAGAGGACTTACTCTTTTGTAGGAAATATTACCTCTAAAGAATCACTATTCTGCTTACACGATAAATAATAAATAGTGCAAATCTGCGTATTAAGATGCATGCCATATATTCTTTATTGATTTCTAAGGTTATTTCTAAAGGTAATGTAAAAACAGGTAATTTTGACACTTAAGTAATTTTACACTTTTAGTGCCTTTCAATATTTTAGTTTTAGAAATAGTCGTTTTGCTTTTCTGTCTATAATTTTGAACTTCAAACTTCTGAACTATTGTTATAAACAAAGTTACTAATATATCTAAGCCAAAACTACTTAGCTGCCAAAATTACCCTTTTTACAATATTTGGTAAAATAATGGGGCTGCTCATTCATGGAATTCAAAATACAGCCTATGAGCCTAATTAATGTATTTAACTATTAGCTCTGCGTGTGGTGGGTAAATATTGAAAATAAAATGTATCAAAAATAGTTAGGTAATATATCTGTATAAATATCCCATTAGGAAAAATGGAAACCATTTATGTTTTGACTTCACATTTCTTGATTTCAAATAAACATGAAACAAACTCAGCCATTTAGATTTAGCATGAACTATGATGCTATACAACAAATAAGCAATAGATAAATAAGGTGAAAATAAGATATCAAATCATAATTTTCCCAGTGTTATATATCAAATGAAAGACGCCACTGTCAGTACAATGGAAAGCTGGAAATGTTCAATCGACATCAAAATACAATAATATTACTTCACCATCATTCCGTAATCATGTTAAATGCAGATACGACTTACACCCACTAAACACCCCTATAAGGCAAGTCCAATATAGTGATGTGTCTCTAAGATCAGCTTGGGTGAGTTTAAGTCTAATTCGACTTAGGGGTGTAATCTGTAGCATTGGGGTTAAGGTTGGAGCCCTGGCCCATCGGAGACTCATGTATGCCATTCATGTTACTGTTAACTGTTGTAAACTTGGCAGTGTAACTGAGCGGCATCTGGTTAGAGCATGTGGAGGGGTACGCCCCGGTTGGCATCAAAGCCATCACCTCAGCGACTTTTCCTTTGCAATCCGCTAATTCAAGCTCCTTTGTCATTATAACGTCTGCAAAACACAGCATATAATCAGATTAACACAAATGCACACATTTATTTCAAATATCAACGCTTTGTGGAATTGCATCAAAGCATGGCTGTATGAAAGGAATGCAATAGATGGTTGAATATTCAGTTTGAAAACTCAACTTTTAACCTACTCATACCTGTCCTTGGGAGTGAAGGCCCATTGGATAGCAATCAAGACATAACAGAAGCTTCAAGGATGGGAGGGAGTGGCAAGACAATTTCCCAAACTGATCTTACCCTAATTCAACACTGTTCCAACATGAACACAACACTTATGTCACCCCTTCCAAAACCATTCAATATACTGATTAGCTTATTCACCTGAATAGGTATAGATGTCACTAAGGAAATATCAAAATTTTTAGCATGGTGCAAAGCAGTTCTCAAAATCTCAACTACACTGGAATTGAACATGTTATAAGTATGTATGTATTAACACTGTATGTCCCTGCAACTAGATGGCAAGCCATCCAGTAGAAAGATTTTGAATGTGTTCATATTCAGATGTGTTCAGATCTACAGCGTTTACTGTATGTACCTTGTTGGATCTCTATCTGTCTCTTTGCTTCACCAAGGGCTGAGAATAGGTCTAGTTTCAGTCGTGTCTCCGCACTGAGGCTGTTCTCCAAATGTGTGTTCTTGTCTTGCATGGCTGACAAGGCTGACATCAGCACATCTGTTTCATTTTGAGCTTCTTTATACTGAACCAGAGACTGGAAATAAACAAGCATTACAAGTAAATATGTTTTGGTTTATATTATTTTACACATGTGTCAGTTTGTTGAAAATCTGACAAATGGTTTTCAACGAATCGCTATGACAAAATAGCAAGAAGCCATCACCATGACGACAATACTCATCAAGTGGTGAGATAAAAAGTCATTTTAGAAGATATCCTTTTCAAAAACTTTTTACAACATCATCAACATCAGGCCAAACATACATTTTTTCCTGCAAAAGTGAAAGGCCTTGTTCCCTTTTGAAAACCAGAAATCAAAACTAATAGCAAAAAATAAAATAAAAAATTATAAAAAGTACCTGGACGTCACGTTCTAATCTGTGAATATGTTCATCTTTGCTTGTAGTGTTTAGTTTCATTCTGTTGACATCATTTTCCAATTCTTTGCGTCTCAGTCTGCAGTTCATTGTACATTCACCCCTAGAAACACAAAACAAAGAAAATAAGGTATGCTTCCAGGGATCAGTCCTTATTCTATTAACACAGAATTTCATTCTGTTTTTTCATTAATCATGGTTATTTCTTCCTCCGATCACAGGGCTTCAAAATCCAGAATATATTCTTTCTTTTTACCCCCTGCGATAAGCAGTTAGCATTTCCGCGTTTAAGAACTCGCAATATCTAATTGGCCGTCGCAACACTGTGACAGAAATCATGTACTATAAGTCATTGCGCATAATTAGATCACGTGACTCAGTTTAATCGGGCGCTTCCAAATTTGTTATAGCAGGGGGAAGGAGGAGGTACGGATGCTGGATACCTGCTTTGGAGGAGGAGTTATTTTAACAGAATGTAAATTGGTGATAATTAAAAGGCCAAGCACTCATGTTGGTTTCAACTCCAGTCCATTCACACATTTATTCCATGTTTTCTTAAAAGAGAGCTTCACCTGAACTCTTTAATCCTTTGATCTAGCCTTAACCAATCAGAACACTAAGAGTATGGTTGATAAAATCCAGCTAGCCAATCAAAATTGCATTCACTAAATTGACTTATCAAATGTTCCATGAATATCAAAAAATGCGTAAGTTTGAAAAAACCATTTTTCAGTTATTTATTGTTGTACCTCTGAGCTGCTGCCATGGCAACTGCCCTAGCGGCAGCTGCCTCTTCCTGTTTTTTAGCCTTGCGTTCCTGTGCCAATTGTGCTTCTATAGTCGCCTTTGCTTTACGTTCATCTGTTAGCTTCCTGTTCAAGTCTGCCAGTGTCAGTTTGTCGTGTTGCCTGCTTGTCACAAGGTTGTGTAATCTACGATGTAAGCAATGCTTAACTTCACCATGTAAATTTGGATATTAAACATGTGTAATTCTTTCACTTCTCACATAAATAGGAATAACCATAAAATAAAAAAAATGATTCAAGTAATTTTCAAAATCAACTATACAAAGGTTGGTAGCAAAATGTTAAGTCTTTTTCACAGAAATCCAGGTCTCCTACTTTGACTCTTTAATATAGAACCTGATCATACCAGAAGTATGATACATATGCGTGTATCATATGGATGCAATATGGTAGCTAAGTTACTTAAAATGCCATGAAAAAGCATTAAGAGTTATGAAGGGGTCATCTAACTAACCCTATACATTGACTTGAAGTCAAAGTTTATGACAGAGATTTTAGAGATTTGTCTGAAAATTTTCCAAATTTTCCAAATATTCTAATCACCATTTACCCACATATCAATGATATTTCCTTCATTTTTCACAAGTTAAAATGATACTATCATCACCTGATCATACATTGTGATCGATTTCCTAATATTTGATGAGCATTCTTCAATTTAATCCAAAAATAAAAAGATATTGTTCACTTCCGGCCACTTCCAGTTTCAAACTTCTGGTCAATATTTTTGAAATAAAAAGTTTGAAAATATTTTTATTGTGTCTATTTAACTTATTTTGTAAAAATGATGTTGTATGAATGTTAACAACACCATCAACTATCAAAACCATTGCATTTGGAGAAGAATAGCAGCAAATTATTTAAGATAAAGACTTCTGACTTTTTGCAAACAGCTGATAGTCTACATGGAATGTGACGTCAAAGCGAGTAAACTCGCTCAGTACACATCTTGGGTTAAATCAACAAAACAGAGAAAACAAAATCCTTAATTTCTTGCGAAAATCAATCTCTTACTTTGTCTGTAAGCTTTCATTGTCCTGTCTGAGCTGATGGAGTTCTGACTTATGTGCCTTGTCTTGGAGAGACAGACTGTTAATCTGAGATCTGAGGTCCTGTTCTATGCTGCGACTGGCTTGGAGGTCTAGTTTCACACGCTTGATTTCTGACTCCAATCTGCAATTATAAAATATTTCTTAAAATATTTTTTTCAGTATTCATTAAGGATGCAGCATTTATGACTAGGTGGGTAACATCGACCAGTTTCTTTAGTTTCCATAGTTTCATCAATGCCTTCACTCCTGGTTGTCAATCTTGGATGGACACCCACGGCTCTGTTAAATACTGACCAATGGAACAGAAAGCATGGATAAACAGGTAAAAAAAAGGGTGGTCATTATTACACCTGTCTTGCCTTAGTTTATGCATCTTATATATATACGATATAAGATACATGTGTAATTCAATCCCCCTAAAGCATTCAATCCCCCTAAGTAGGGGTGAGACGAGTCGAAAAAATCCGATTCGAGTCGAATCCAATTCGAGTCAGAAAATGACGATTCGAGTTTCGAATCCGTTTCGAGTCGCGAAAGTGCGAACAACATCGCTTTTGACCGTTCGTATTTTTAATGCGTCAATGGTGGAAAGCCGGAAATATAAACAAACACAATTCGTCATAGTTTATTCTGATTTTATTATATATATTCTTTCATTTATGTGTACATACAATATAATAATTTAATACAAGCATATCCAAGTCATTGAAACTTATATATTCAACGCAATATCGAGTAAAAACATGCGTATTTTTCTGAATTTTTTTATTTTTTCGAATTTTTTTCTCAACTCGAAAATGATTCGATTCATCAACTTTGACTCGATTCGACTCGACTCGAAGCCCCAAACCCGCGAGTCCTCGACTCATCGGGTTGTCGTCTCACCCCTACCCCTAAGGCATTACACAAAAATCTAGTCACAATTACTCTTGTTATAAATGGCCCCGATTTCCAGACAGTTTGCCATATAATTATGAATCATGTATGGCTCAACTACTGCATATGCAAAAACCAGCAATGTGCATGCACGAAGGAATATGCGAAGTGGTCGCAACAAGTTTAAAGTTGGGTTAGAACTTACACATATTCAGTGGAATCATTGCAATTATGAGGTTTGAAATAAGCAGTTTTTTCTCAATAATATTATTTTTCAGGCTGGGGATAAAAGATTAAACTGGATAGCGTATGGTTCAACTTCAGCTGGTGCACTTTAGGAATTGACATAAGAGGGAAAAACCTAATTCACACTCTAAAATCACATAACTGCATGGTACTGTTCGAGTCTATGGTATCATACAGTACCATATTTTAGGGTATTGTATGGTTCCATAGCCAAAATTGCACTATACGATGCAGCTCAGGATTGGCTGTATAATTCAGTATTCAAACTTACACCACACCAAGCAACCTCATCCCTTGACCCAAATATTAACTTATTCCGCTCCCAGTGGCGTTATGGTGAAGTACCATGAATGGGGCACTAACTGAGGAATTAAGTGCGCATGTACTTACTTGGAAATGTTGTCGTCTTTAGAAGCAGCAAGATTGTTGGTAGTAGTTGTAGAAGAACTAGTGTTACTTTCCTTTGCCGTGTTACTTTTACCCTTATCTTTCCGTGATTCTCGACTACTGTTCAATTTTGATGTTTTTGCACTGCTCGATTTGAAAGCCTTATTACTGTTGTGTTGATGTGAGTCCTGGTCTAATGTCTCATCATTTTCATTGACGTTATTCTGTTTCCTAGACAATGTCTTCTCTATGTATTCATAATCTTCAATGTTGTTAGTATGCTTGTGTTTAATATCTTTGTCTGCTTTGTCTGGAGATGTAGTGGAGGGTGTGTTGTCCGCCTTACTGTTGGATTTACTGTTTTTGACTGGAGCTGACGCAACCTGGACGCCATTTGATGAGATTTCCTCCTCTTTATCTTTTGGAGTTAATGCTGGAAATATGTAGAATATGTATGAATGGGTACAAGAGATGAAAGAGGAATTAGTAAAAAGTTTAAAAATATGGACAAAAATGGAACCTGAAGCGTGCAACTGGTCATGAAGAAATAAGTCCTTAGCAATTATTTAGAATACAAACTGTCTAACAGCCCCCCTGCACAGTGCCCTCCCATCAAATTACCCAATCTTTCTTCACCACAAAAGCTCAAAATTCTTCAAGATTAATATTCAGGGATGAAATAACATTCTTTAATTTCTAAGGCAAAGAATTCACATTCAATTTTTTTTATTTCGAAGCATCTAAAAACAAATTAGTAATACAATACAAGAATACTTAATAAAAACATTGCAGTTTCAAAGAATATAAGGTTCAATAATATAATGATTCAATTTCAGATTCTATAGCTTTGATGTCTGATATCCTACAAAAATAGATTGATGTACTTCACCTTGCCCAAGACTGATGACATTTAACACATCATTTGAAGGCATCCAGCATTTGTAGAATAAAACATGTGACGTTGAAGGTATGGATTGATTCATTACCAGTTATTGGAACTATTAATCCATTGAAATATAAGATTCCGCTTGGTTTGACTGAATAATTGTTGTATCTAATTATGAATGCGAACCACAAGGGGTACCCTTGCCCAAGTCGGTATTTTTTACTTATCTGATCTTGAATTATTACCGCCTTGTACAATCCAATACATCTCTGCTGTTATTATGCTGAAATATTCAACGGTTTCGAGATTTCTATAATACCTACGCTAGAAGGGGTATTGCGAAACCTTATTGATTGACAGATATCGCGTGGACACGATGTGTGACTTCAGGCTGAATGACCTATCAAAACGTTATCAGGTTGAGCTGCATAAACAAAACAAACTTTCCATCTATGACTTGAAATTCAACGATCTGATCGAGTGTTCTATATATTTTGTAATTAAATGTACATTGGAAGGTAAGAGTCATTAATATAAATTAAATCATGCGATTCAATGTTGATTTAAAACTGATTTCGCGATGAAAATGCACGAAGACCTAAGTCCAATATAGCGGGTCATGTTGTCGTCGATCGGTGATTGAATCTCAGCCTACATGTTCAGCGATCGTTTCAACGTTTATTGTTGAAATCTTCTCACCTTTGGTTATCCGTTCGATGCTCCGGCATCCACTACTCTCATTGATATTTATTTGATAAAATATTTGTATTTTCATGATGAATTCGTCCAAGATTTGTTCGTGAAGTCCCGGTGAAAAGTGTACTTGTTTTTGACCGTGCATAATAATGAGCTAATGCTGCAGGGCCGTCATTGATTGGTCAAATTTTACCGACATCAACAAACTGTCGGTAAAGCACGTGGCTTTCTCTTGAGTACAAGGCGGTCATAATAGAAATCAATTTAAGTAAAAGAGACCGACTTGGGCAAGGCTACACAAGGGGATATATGTGTTTATAAAAGTGTTTTCATTTAAAGAAAATTGCCATAGGATACATCACTTCTTCATAAAAAACATGCCCTTCACCCCTCTACACAGTGATATGTTGGTGGAATAGAGGGTGAGGTGAGGTGAGGGGTCCAGTCTTGAAGCGAGACTATTCGGTAACCCTAGCCAATGCCACAGACCATATGATTACCTATTTCTTCTGTGTTAGTGACTGCCTTTTGTTTTTCTGTGTTTAACTGCTGTAGCTCTGGAGGCAAGGCTTGTTGTAGAACCATGTAGTAAAAATCATTGTCTCGCTGGACATCTTTTTGTTTTCTCTGAAAGAATTGAATAATGAAGAAATGATGACATCTTTATCAATGTTACGTAAATATATCTATATATATATATATGTTAACGTAGTAAATATATCGAACACCTGAAAAAACTGATTTGTTTGATTGAAACAAATACAAGATTATGTAGATATTATAAATTCAGTCCATGTATGACTAATATGTCAGGTCATGACATCTAAAGAGTCAATAAAATAAGACAAAAAAATGTCTAATACTTACGAGTCTCATTTTATAAGAAATATAACTTTTAAAACCAAAGCCTAGTGTGACAACTGGATAGCCAATGCTGAAAAACAAATAAAAGAATCTTTTAATAGAACAGTATTAAGTAAAATTAAATTTTTACTTTTAAGAGATCTTTCTGATATATCTACCATGTTACCTAACCCAGCCACCTGGTGGTGAAACTGGTAACTATCTACCGGCAGCTGGGTTATTAAATGGTTTATTTAAGAATGACAGTGTTACTTACTCTATACTATTTTTACACTTACACATTTTAAGTGTACATTTATTATTGCAAATAAAACAAAATCCCTATCATGTTCATTAATAGTCTCCGTCTTACCAGTGTGCCGCAAATGGCCTGCAAAGGTTTAGCTGGAAACTCAGCGGTGTTGGCCGGAGGTCACGGAGACGAACAGATGCCTCTATGTAGACAAATAGCAGCCAAAGAGATACTGTGGGAAGACAGATACCACGATCTGAAAAGATAAAAGAGAAATGTGTTTCTACAAAATGGAGGCTACACATACTTTCTAATCAACACCTTTATCTTATTAAATTGCTTATCACCACCTTCTAATGAGTTATTAAACAATTATTACATGTGTAATGGACATGTTTCATAATACTGTAGTTATAAAACAGAAATACAAAGAAAGTTATATATTAAACATATTCTGTATAAAATTAATGACATCCTACTTGTTAAGATGACATAACAACTTACTCAAGAAGCTCCAAATCAAAGATGAAATTTTGAAAATTAGAAAAATTGCATAACTAAAAACATACGAAGGCAAAAATACTAAATTGGTAGCAAAATGGTTCACGTAAAACATTATGACAGTTAATGAACCTGATTTTCACAAACAAGTTATATCAGAATATCTTTTTAAATGAGCGTTATACATCTTACATAATGTCTAGTTAAGATTCAAACATTAACAGGTGTTGACATGCTATCAAATGAAGATTTCCTGTTGCCAAACTCAAAGAGAAGGATGTAAAACTCATGACTTACCTGCATGCCATACATATTGCACCCACACATAAGTGCTAGCTGCAAAGAACAGCCACTGTTCCTACCTGCATGCCAGACACATTGCACCCACACATAAGTGCTAGCTGCAAAGCCACTGTTCTTACCTGTATGCCAGACACATTGCACTCACACATAAGTGCTAGCTGCAAAGAACAGCCACTGTTCCTACCTGTATGCCAGACATATTGCACTCACACATAAGTGCTAGCTGCAAAGAACAGCCACTGTTCCTACCTGCATGCCAGACACATTGCACCCACACATAAGTGCTAGCTGCAAAGAACAGCCACTGTTCTTACCTGCATGCCAGACACATTGCACCCACACATAAGTGCTAGCTGCAAAGAACAGCCACTGTACTTACCTGTATGCCAGACACATTGCACTCACACATAAGTGCTAGCTGCAAAGAACAGCCACTGTTCTTACCTGCATGCCAGACATATTGCACCCACACATAAGTGCTAGCTGTAAAGAACAGCCACTGTACTTACTTGATGCCAGACACATTGCACTCACACATAAGTGCTAGCTGCAAAGAACAGCCACTGTACTTACCTGTATGCCAGACACATTGCACCCACACATAAGTGCTAGCTGCAAAGAACAGCCACTGTTCCTACCTGCATGCCAGACACATTGCACCCACACATAAGTGCTAGCTGCAAAGAACAGCCACTGTACTTACCTGTATGCCAGACACATTGCACCCACACATAAGTGCTAGCTGCAAAGAACAGCCACTGTTCTTACCTGCATGCCAGACATATTGCACCCACACATAAGTGCTAGCTGTAAAGAACAGCCACTGTACTTACCTGTATGCCAGACACATTGCACTCACACATAAGTGCTAGCTGCAAAGAACAGCCACTGTTCCTACCTGTATGTCAGACATATAGCACCCACATATAAGTGCTAGCTGCAAAGAACAGCCACTGTTCCTACCAGTATGCCAGACATATAGCACCCACATATAAGTGCTAGCTGCAAAGAACAGCCACTGTTCCTACCAGTATGCCAGACATATTGCACCCACACATAAGTGCAAGCTGCAAAGCCACTGTTCTTACCTGTAAGCCAGACATATTGAACCCACACATAAGTGCTAGCTGCAAAGAACAGCCACTGTTCCTACCTGTATGCCAGACATATTGCACTCACACATAAGTGCTAGCTGCAAAGAACAGCCACTGTTCCTACCTGCATGCCAGACACATTGCACCCACACATAAGTGCTAGCTGCAAAGAACAGCCACTGTTCTTACCTGCATGCCAGACACATTGCACCCACACATAAGTGCTAGCTGCAAAGAACAGCCACTGTTCTTACCTGTATGCCAGACACATTGCACCCACACATAAGTGCTAGCTGCAAAGCCACTGTTCTTACCTGTATGCCAGACATATTGCACCCACACATAAGTGCTAGCTGCAAAGAACAGCCACTGTACTTGCCTGTATGCCAGACATATTGCACCCACACATAAGTGCTAGCTGCAAAGAACAGCCACTGTTCCTACCTGTATGCCAGAAATATTGCACCCACACATAAGTGCTAGCTGCAAAGAACAGCCACTGTTCCTACCTGTATGCCAAACATATTGCACCCACACATAAGTGCTAGCTGCAAAGAACAGCCACTGTTCCTACCTGTATGCCAGACATATTGCACTCAGACATAAGTGCTAACTGCAAAGAACAGCCACTGTTCCTTCCTGTATGCCAGACATATTGCACTCACACATAAGTGCTAGCTGCAAAGCCAGTGTTCTTACCTGTATGCCAAACATATTGTACCCAAACATAAGTGCTAGCTGCAAAGCCAGTGTTCTTACCTATATGCCAGACATATTGTACCCACACATAAGTGCTAGCTGCAAAGAACAGCCATTGCACCCACACATAAGTACTAGCTGCAAAGCCACTGTTCTTACCTGTATGCCATACATATTGCACCCACACATAAGTGCTAGCTGCAAAGCCAGTGTTCTTACCTATATGCCAGACATATTGTACCCACACATAAGTGCTAGCTGCAAAGAACAGCCATTGCACCAACACATAAGTGCTAGCTGCAAAGCCACTGTTCTTACCTGTATGCCAGACATATTGCACTCACACATAAGTGCTAGCTGCAAAGAACAGCCACTGTTCTTACCTGTATGCCAGACATATTGCACTCACACATAAGTGCTAGCTGCAAAGAACAGCCACTGTTCTTACCTGTATGCCAGACACATTGCACTCACACATAAGTGCTAGCTGCAAAGAACAGCCACTGTTCCTACCTGTATGCCAGACACATTGCACTCACACATAAGTGCTAGCTGCAAAGAACAGCCACTGTTCTTACCTGTATGCCAGACATATTGCACCCACACATAAGTGCTAGCTGCAAAGAACAGCCACTGTACTGGAACAAATAAGTAGCAGATCACATCTGAAGTCACCGCGATACATACGAAGAACACAGAAAATGCCTGAAAACACACAAAAATATATACCTTTACTAATTTAACTAGACAACAGCAACGCCAAAACCTAGCAAATCCAATCGAATAGCCATGGCTGGCGTATTTACAAAAAAGTATATGGCAAAAATGGCAGCCATTTTTCAAAATGGCCACCTTCTACCAAAAGTGTCATTAGACATGGCAGCCATTTTTCATGATGTGCTTCTTTAATATCTACATTTCTAGCATTATTAATGTCCCATATAATTTTTTACATTTAAAACATATTGCTATTACAGTTTTACATATTGCATCTAAATAACTGTAAAATCGGCACTAAAATGGCCGCCATTTTTAAATGAGTGGCCATGTTGAAAATCGGCTTCGAGCAGAACTTCTTCCACCCTAGGGTATATGTGTACGAAATATGAACAAAATCGGGCTAACGGTATTTGAGTTATTGCCCGTACGTACGGACGTATATATGGATGTACGTCTGACGTATGTATGGATGGACAGACGGACGGACGGACGGACGGAGGCGTTCCCTATATCCCTCCGTTCGATGGGATAATGATTATTTTCACAAAAAGCTGTTAAATAATAAACTGTCCAACGATTATCATAAACATGCATTAGCCAATTATTTGACTGAGTCATATAATTAAATCTCTCAGGGTCACCACAAAGAAGATTTGCTTCCTGCATTAATTTTCATTCTTCTTTTGACTTGCATGGAACAAATTGGTAAAAGTAGTACCTAAATGTTCATATCATAGATGCCAGTGTGACAATTCCACAGACAAATGCTCTAATACAATCTAAGGGGAAACATCGAAATCTGCGGATGAAAAAACAAGCATTTTCATCCATCGCCCATTTTTAAATTCTGATTTTTTGTCTTCTACTTTTTTAACAATCCCCTCTGACAAAATCTTGGTCTGGAGATGAACATTATAGTAATAGTATTACCGAATTGGTACATCCCAGTCTAAAGAACTCTAAAGACTCCTCCTCCAGGTCTCCTTCATAGATCATTTAAAATGGCATTCAGTATTCGTACTGTATAATTTCTAATTATAAATTTCTAAATGGCATTTCAATTTATTTTCTGTATTTCAAAAATGATTCCCAAATGGAAATCCCTATAATAGGTCACTTAAAAGAAACAAATAAACAGATAAATACAGGTTGAACATCAAACTTGAGCCAAGGGTGATTCCACTCAAAGTCGTCATCTTCTCACATGTCACACAGCAGAAACAGTACGACAGAGATTGAGATGAATATTATTATTAAAATCAACTGATCGCACAGCGGCCACAGAACCCTCCTAGGCATCCTAGAAAAAAATCTTGGTTTCTCTTAAATATATAGAAAAAGTAGAAACTAGCGCACCTAACATTATATGAAGCAACAAATTTGTAGAACATAAAGTGAATTCTCACCTTTGCAAGAAAATGAATACAATCTTACAAGATAAGGGAGAAAATATAGAAATTGTAACTGACACTTTGTATCCAGACAGCAGATGCTATTAATCAGTCTCAGTCCCATATTAGAGAACAATATGCATGTATCGGTTCTGAGTCTCGTGGAATATTAGTTTAGGCTCATCATAATATTTCTATGTCTTTGTTCTTGCTTATATTGGATTTACAGGAGTAGATAGCTATTTAACTATTTCATTATCATTATCTAGCTAGCTAATTTCCTTATCACGATATATGATAGTTTTCTTGAAGCAAGATTCTACCCCTCCCCCCCTATTCTCCTTAACCTAAATCTAGTATGCTTTGGTAAAATAAGGGGGGGAGGGCATCTATTCATCTACGTATACAACTTTTGTGACATTTCTTGATTTCCATGTTATCATTGAGCTCTTTAACAGATTCATTATCAAACATCAAATGAAAGTATTCTTGTGCCAAGGTTCTTGACCCCCCCCCCCATCATTCTTCAAAATCCTTATATCCAGTATAATTGAATAAAAATGAGGGGGTATTTTATTAACCATTGGATTTTTGTGACATTTTTGATTTCCATATAGTCAAAGCACCACCCCAGAGAATTCTCTTTTCTGTCTCTATTCTCTCTAATAGTGAGATGATTAGCAGGAATAAATAATTAAGGAGAACCCTGAACATCATATAATATTTAAACATCAAGAATAAGATCAAATAATCAAAACAAGCAAAACAACCAAAACAATCAAAACAACCAAAACAACTAACACTGCAGAAAGTTAAGAAACAAACAGAATTCCTATAAAGTAATGAGAGTAAAATATTTGGAATAGTTTTCAGGTATATTATAACATTATCAAAATAGATAATTCATCAAGAAAAGGGTTAAATAGCCATAACAACCAAAACAAATACCAGTGCCTAGGTGCAGAAAGTTAAGAAACAAATAGAATTCCAAAGTAAAGATAGTAAAATATTTGAAACAGTTTTCAGGTTATTAGAAAATTCTCTACAAATCAGAAAAATGGTTACTTATACCTGATAAAGAAAATATATCATTTCTTATTTCATATTGTAACAATTAAATCTTTTTCAGGGTAAGACTGAACCACATTCAAGGTATGTTCTTTTAAATCTGCATTTAACTATATGACATAATAAATAAAAACAAAATGTCAAACCTTCTAGAACTTTTATCTGAAGGTTGAATGGGAATATAGAATTACAATAAAAAGATGATAAAATAGTTGTAAGCAACCTTAGAGATAAACAAAAACATAATATCATGGCTTCTACCCAACTTTTAAGCTGGTTGCTTCCAGAATTTTTAACCATGCCTTAAGTATAAGTGCGGAAGTTAATATAGTTTTGGTCAATATTAATTTAGTTAACTAGATATGCAATAAAATTGTGAACTAAGTCCTCCATGTTTTTGGGAATGAAAAATACAATTACTCCCTGCAACTTATGCCTGTCTTAAAGCCACATACAGACATTTTACCTATATTATAAACCCCAAAAAGCAATAAATATGACACTGTGTTAAATAAAAATGAAATAAAGAAAGTATATAGTGGCTGCAGGCTACGAAATAAAGAAAAAAAGAAAAAGATTTGCCATGGCCGAGGTTCAAATCTGGAAAAGTGTATTCACAAATAATATAGATTGTTAATTTTTGAAAATATATTTTCCACAACATTACAATTAATAAAAAAAATAGTCAATAATCATGTTAAAAATATTAGAATAGTTTTCATTTTGATAATCTATTTCTTGTCATGACAGTAAAAAAAACATGGCCTCCAAAAAGTGTTCTTGCTTCCAATTTTCAAAATGATATATATCCATGAATCAGCTGTTTTTGGTACCTGAACCCATCCTAATAGAAAGGTAAGACTATTTTCTTGAGGAGTATTTCTTGAAAGCCCTCATTTTATCCTCTAAAGTCTTTGAAAGTCACTTTAATATACATGTACACAACAAATGGACCTACTCATATATGAACACCTCTAATCCAAACACCTCTCAATATGAACACTTTCTTGGTCCAACTTTTGCTTTATCCCACTGACTCACATATTTAACAAGGCATTAATGCAAACTGTCACTACCTGCCATTTGTTACAGATTCTGAATGCTGAACACCAACCACTGGATGCCAAACACCGATCACTATCCACAAAAAATTTGAAGACTATAACAATATGTCACGATTTGGATATAAAATGCTTAACACCAACCACCAAATGCCAAACACCGATCACTATCCACGAAAAATTTGAAGACTATAACAATATGTCACAATTTGAATATAAAATGCTGAACACCAACCGCTGGATGTCAAACACCAATCATTTTCCACAATATTTTGAGGACTATAACAGTATGTCAAGATTTGGATATAAAAAAACTATGAAATGTGAAAACCTTCTGATCCAAACACTTTAAGTCAGTTCCAGTAGTGTTCAGTTTAACAGGGTTTACTTTATAATGATATAGAAACCAAGATAAATCAGAAACTAGTAACTACCTACTGGCACCTAGGTAATAACTATTTAATACCATCTAATAGTTTATGTGGCTATATTACCTAAGAAAGGAATTTATCATGTAGGTACGTTCACCGAACGCCTTTTAGAGGACAACGGAATATGTAACATATAATTATGACTGCTTATTGATGATGTCAGTAGTGTTATAACTAGAGTACAAACTCACGTTTTACATTCTGTGACGTTACTTCATTGAAACAGTTTTTTCTAAGATGTTAATGAAAAACTCCATGCAATAAATACACCATGAGTTTGCAATGATCTGCTTTTGCTCCTTTTCATACAATCATTGTCATTTATAGTTGAGTTTTAGGGTTGTTCAAATAGCAAGGATATTTATCCAGCAGAGGTGTTCATAAAATACAAATGTTCGTGTAACTTAGATGTTCACAAGTCAAACCTGTTTTCATATAGATATCAAAAACGTTTTACTTGTTACATTTGACATTGCAGAGAATTTATGTGTAGATGGGTTCACATGTCCAATATGCTTGCAAATAAAAAATGTTCTCATAAAAACCTGTTTACATTGCAGAGAATTTTAAAAATGGAGGTATTTACATATTTGATGTGCTTGCATAAACCATACATTCACAAAGAATGAACATATTTATAAAGATGACATTGTTTACACAGCAGAAGTGTTCTCATAAAAGGATGAGGTGTTACATTTGAAAGGTGTTAACATAACAAAAGTGATTATACAACGGAAACCTTCACATCAGTGATGCCATATCCAGTACACTAGTATCAACACTCCACTTTATAAAGATATTCACACAGATAGAAACATTACAGATAAATACCCAAAAGTAGTAATAGCATGTTGAAATGTCATCAAGAATAGCTACAATGACAATTGGCCATCAAAGAACTTGAAACACTTTCTAATAGAAAACGTGACTTCTAATTATCAGATATAAGATAGCTACATTTGTTACTCATTAATCTTTGCAAGAACTAAATTCCCATTTTCTGGATGTTAAACACCTTGGTTCCATCTTGATCTGGAGAAACATAGAACAGTATAAACTAAATCTATTTTCAAAATATTCCTACATTTACATTGAAGAACTCAACCTTTAAATAACTTCCTTGATTTGAATCCTTGGTCTTGATTGGTCAACTGGGTATATAGGGATTCTAATTTGGAACCCTTAATTGGCGAGTACGGTATGCACATGAACATTCTTTACTTTTTATGATCTTTTTACAATTTATACTGTCAGATCTGTCATCATTTTGTATTAACCTGATTGGCTTAATGACAAAAACATGCTCTAGGGAACACATATTTTCTTTGAAAGATGTAAACGTTTTGAAACCTTTAGTATAATTAACTTCCTAAATTAAAGCCTATTTGGAGAGATATGCATTCACTGGCTTTTTGACCAAATAAGGTAAACTGCTCTTTCTCTCCATTACACTTTAAACTTGATTTCAACCACTTGCTAAAACTTTACTCAATAAACCTATAAAATCTACGTAAAAACACAATATAAGAGATACTTACCAGGCCTTGGTATTTGAAAGAGTCGTATACACTGCGCATTAGTAACCAGAACGGCCAAAGGTACTCGAAGCGGAACTCAAGTATAAAATCAGCCATCAGTACGAGTGCCCAGACCATGAGAAACTTCAGGTATAGAAATGCACTGAAAATACAAGCAAAAATACCATAATAGTTGATTGCATGTCAAAGGAATTGACAGGTGATTCTCTGTGTTGAGAATCTGTCATATCTCCCCTAAAGAAGAGGGGGAACTAGGGTTAAGGTGCTCAGATTCAGATATCTCAGATGTAACAAATCCAAGTCATGAGATCTACTATGATATTCTCCATGAAATAAAATGTTAGATCAAGATCTGTGAGTAGTGCCACAACAGAGTGGTAAAGTTACCATATAAAATACCAGACATATCAAAAAATGTAGGTTATCGTAATCAAAATAGGTACCATGTATATCCCTAGTGGAGGTATTATTGTATCTCATGTAAAACACTGGGAGGGGGACTTAGAAAACATTTGTTCCAAGCTTCTCTTAAACAATAGTGTAATTATGCTTCACTCCCCCTAGTTTTCCATGAGTAAAAATGCTGAATTCTGCAAGTGAGATATGAAAATTCTGCAAGTGAGATATGAAAACTCTGCAAGTGAGATATGAAAATTCTGCAAGGGGAAACAGAATTCTAGGGGGAGTATGTTATAGAATGAATGAGCAGAATGACTACACCTGTAAATAACAGAATACTGGCTAATGTCGTACCTCACAGACAAATCTAAAGGGCTCTGGTGACTTTGACATGTCAAGAGCAAAAGGAATGAAAAATCCGTCAACACCCTAGACTCATTAAGCCACTGCAGAGTTCACAAACTAAAGTGACAGACAACTATAGTACTACACTGTATCTTATTGCAGGTAATGGACATAAAGAAAACTAAAGAAGCACGTTCCAGGCTAGAAGAAAATCAATAGAATGTTCAGAACAAAGGAAAGCATGAAATTAAATATCTATAATTAACAATTACATTACACAAAAAATTATTCATTCCTATTCATATCATATCTGCTTCAAATATAGATGATATTCATAGTCGCCTATTCCTTATGTTATTTGCAAGCCCCCTATTTCCTTTGACATAAATAAGTCCCTCATTCATTTTGGTATTTGCAATTCTCCCATTCCAAATGCTATTTCCTATGACATGAATGAGTCCCCTATTCATTCTGTTACTTGCAAGGTTCCCTTTACAAATGCTATACCCTATGACATGAATGAGACCCTCATTCATTTTGGTATTTGCAAGTTTCCCATTGCAAATGCTTTTCCCTATGACATGAATGAGACCCTCATTCATTTTGGTATTTGCAAGTCTCCCATTCCAAATGCTATTTCCTATGACATGAATGAGTCCCCTATTCATTCTGTTACTTGCAAGGTTCCCTTTGCAAATGCTATTCCCTATGACATGAATGAGACCCTCATTCATTTTGGTATTTGCAAGTCTCCCATTCCAAATGCTATTTCCTATGACATGAATGAGACCCTCATTCATTTTGGTATTTGCAAGTCCCCCATTGCAAATGCTTTTCCCTATGACATGAATGAGACCCTCATTCATTTTGGTATTTGCAAGTCTCCCATTCCAAATGCTATTTCCTATGACATGAATGAGTCCCCTATTCATTCTGTTACTTGCAAGGTTCCCTTTGCAAATGCTTTTCCCTATGACATGAATGAGACCCTCATTCATTTTGGTATTTGCAAGTCCCCCATTGCAAATGCTTTTGCCTATGACATGAATGAGTCCCCTATTCATTCTATTACTTGCAATTCTCCCATTTCAAATGCTTTTCCCTATGACATAAATGAGACCCTCATTCATTTTGGTATTTGCAAGTCTCCCATTGCGTATGCTTTTCCCTATGACATGAATGAGACCCTCATTCATTTTGGTATTTGCAAGTCCCCCATTGCAAATGCTTTTCCCTATGACATGAATGAGACCCTCATTCATTTTGGTATTTGCAAGTCTCCCATTGCAAATTCTTTTCCCTATGTTTATATTTAACTATTGCAAAGATCACATAATTATCAGAAATTATACTGTCATAATTACATTTTAGATATAAAGATTACCTCAATTCATATCACAATGGAATTATATAGAATACTAATAGAAATATAAAAGTTAGATATAAAATAAACCTGACAAAACTACAGTGCCCTTCATGTGTGAATGATTCAGGAACTGCTGCAAAATATCAATTTTCACCTAACATCTTCACGATGGATGCTTGCAGTTAATTTAATCAGCAATGGGGAAAAAGGGTAATCGTAATACTTATAAAGTATGCCATCCTGTTGAAAGTCTATATGTCAGCTCACAAAAATATGAAATAATATTCAAATATTTTGACAAAATTATAACTTCGGCCTTAGCACACTGTTCTGTAATAATAGAGATGACTGGGATGAACCAATCAAATTATCTTATAAGTAACATGTTAAAAGTCATCAGTAGACATACAACATGAACAACAATTGTACACCAATTGTCATTTCGTACATGTACTTATATGTACAGTAAAACCTGTATATCCAAACACCTCTCTAATTCAAATACCTTTCAATGTGACATTTCTTGTACCATTTTTTATATCAATAGAGAGTTTCACTGGTGTTCATGGGAAACAGGTTAACTGTACGTTGAGATGTGAACTTGACATAGATACGACTAACTTATCAACAACTACTCTTGAACTGGTATTTTATCTATTACATGTAATAGATTGGACATGAATTCATCAGAAAACTTATTATTCACTGTATGACAATACGACCACGTGGATCTGGATTTTGTCCAGAATATTTGCATAACATTTTAATCATAAAGTTGTAATAAGTATAATATTACGTACTGTATCGTAAATCAGTGGCTTGTAAATGGCTTAGTGCCACAAAAAATTATCATTACTGATCAATATCATGTCTTTATCTTGGGTGTCTTATCTTCATACTTTTTAAGATGCTTATACTTCATAGCATATCACAGTACACCTCATAGCATATCACAGTACACCTCATAGCATATCACAGTACACCTCATAGTATATCACAGTACACCTCATAACATATCACATTACACCTCATAGCATATCACAGTACACCTCATAGCATATCACAGTATACCTTACCTCATAGCATATCACAGTAAACCTCATAGCATATCACAGTACACCTCATAGCATATCACAGTACACCTCATAGCATATCACAGTACACTTCATAGCATATCACAGTACACCTCATAGCATATCACAGTATACCTTACCTCATAGCATATCACAGTAAACCTCATAGCATATCACAGTATACATCATAGCATATCACAGTATACCTCATAGCATATCACAGTACACCTCATAGCATATCACAGTATACCTCATATCATATCACAGTACACCTCATAACATATCACAGTATACCTCATAGCATATCACAGTACACCTCATAGCATATCACAGTATACTTCATAGCATATCACAGTACACCTCATAGCATATCACAGTATACCTCATAGCATATCACAGTAAACCTCATAGCATATCACAGTATACCTCATAGCATATCACAGTATACCTTACCTCATAGCATATCACAGTATACCTCATAGCATATCACAGTATACCTTACCTCATAGCATATCACAGTATACCTTACCTCATAGCATATCACAGTATACTTCATAGCATATCACAGTACACCTCATAGCATATCACAGTATACCTCATAGCATATCACAGTATACTTCATAGCATATCACAGTACACCTCATAGCATATCACAGTACACCTCATAGCATATCACAGTATACCTCATAGCATATCACAGTGTATCTCATACTTGAGTGGGTTTGGGGTAGATATCACCCGGGAATATATATCGTATCTGAGGAGCGGGCAGGATATATTCTATATGTCCCGCTCCAGTCCAAATGCGGGCAGATATAATATATCCATCCCGCTCCCGGGAACTTTTTCAATATATTTTTTTTCGTGCAGTGTAATAATGATGCATTGTTGAATTTCTCTAGACGAAAAAATTAGAAATAAATATATGGAAAGACACTGAAATTCGATTAAAACATGGATAATATACATGAAAACGCCACTCATTTGAATAATAACGAAGCAGAAACTAACCGCAGATTCGAAAATCAAATAGTGTAGAAGAATTTCTCACAACCACTGAAAATAAAAACACTTCAAAAAACTAAGGTGGAGAGGTTATATCTACCCCAAACCCACTCAAGTATGAGATACACCAGTTATGTACGGTCGGTTTTGGATATAGGGTTTATCCCTCGGGAAATATTTATATCTCCCCTTGGTCCATTCGGTCCCTCGGGGAGATATACATATATCCCTCAGGATATACCCAATATCCAAAACCTCCCAGTACATAACCCTTATATACTTCATAGCATATCACAGTACACCTCATAGCATATCACAGTACACCTCATAGCATATCACAGTACACCTCATAGCATATCACAGTATACCTCATAGCATATCACAGTATACCTCATGGCATATCACAGAACCCAGATGGATCACTAATAGGGGGACTTGCAATAATGTAGGGAATTAGGGACTTGTATATAGCATAGGGAATAAGGGACTTGTATATAGCATAGGGAATTAAGGACTTGCAAATGGCATAGGAATGGAGGACTTGCAATTTATGTAGGTAATATGAGACAATCATACTGATACTCATTAGAAACAACTCATGGCTGAGAAAAATAGAGATATTATGGTTATCCTCATGTGAGACAATAAAAATATGTTAAGTTGATTCAATAGTGCTATCCACATTAACAATTAGTTTCTTCGGTAACTGTACCACATATATAATGTTATATTTATATCTTGAGCCTCATTAACTTGGTTGGGATTATATCAAAATATTTTCCAAAATTTTTATGCTAACTTTCTTGGCCCCCTTTCAATTTTCTAAAAACATTTTATGAGTGTTTATCTGCTTTATGATATTCAGAAAAAAGGTTCCTTTGTTTCCTACTTTTAGACAAAATAAACATCATGATTTACCTTGTCATCATCAACCTCCATGGTGGTTATAATTTC